GTGGCATGATAAGATCAATGATAATTTTACCGAGTGTTTGACCTTGAGTTTTATGTGTTATCATACTGTAGGCGGAAAATTAGAAGAAGAGCTCTGCGCTTGATCGAGATTTTTGTTGTTCGTTTGTTCATTTTTGCAGCCTTTGTCACATTCTCGGTAAGAAGCTCCTTGACATCACAGAGGAATATTTGTCAACAAATGGCTATTGGAATTATTCTGGATTTAGGTTCAACAAGTTCAGAATCAAGCTTGCAATTTGGAAAATTCTACTAAAGCATATTTTGGTTGTGTTATAAACTTAATATTTGTTGGAAAATTCTTGTCATGGAATTGAACATCTAATGAGGATTCTCCGTATACAAGTTCATGAAATATCCCACGTGTATCATTGGGCAGTCCGAGCTCAGTAGCAACGTTCTCTGTGAATAAAATTGACAGCCCCGGTACGAGAGATAAATAGCCTGGATTATGCTCTGTTTTATTGTCAGATAGTTCAACAATCGCTTTATGTAATCGTTTTGTCTTCTATGATTTTTCCCTGAATGTAATCCTGAGTGACGCATACGATCGGTGTAAGTTTCATTTCCATCACTTTATCTAACACCGCCCTATTGTCAAGCTGAGTACGAAGTACATTTCGAAAAACCAGTATTGAAACTTGTTAACAAAGATCTAATGACGTATAGAAAAAGAAGTGATTATACATACTTCGTTCCATGGTTTTTATTGTAATGATACCTGAAGTTTTGAATTTTCCTATGACTCGCCTAAAGGAAGTTGATAATCTTCGATTGTCGACTGCTCATTTGTCAATCTGTTTAAAAGCTTCAAATATCGGATGTCTTCCGTTCGCATTTGCTGATTTAATTCAACGACGCAATTCATTTGAGACATAAGCTTCTGTACACATAGCATATCTATTTGATGTTCTGTAAATTACTGTGTCGATGCGCAGCTTTGGTAGAGAGATCAATCCAATACTGGAGAATATTGCAGATACTCGCAAAAAAAAACTGACATTCACACTACCAAAAGAAAACTCAGAATTTATG